CCTCTGCTCATCGGCCTGGTGACAAGCAGGACAGGCCCTGCGGCAAACTGACAGGATGTGACAGTGCGGGAACAGGGCCTTTGGGGGTGACTAGGGCTAGAGGAGGTGGTGCGGGTGGGCCCTGTGAAGGATGAGGGTCCTCGCAGGAAGGGACGCGGCCGGAAGAGAAACAGACCAGGGCGCTGGGCCCCGGCCTGCAGCCCGCAGCGCTGAGAGAGGAGCCTGTGCCCGAAGCCGCCTGGCCAGTGCGCCGCTGCGGCCAGAGCCGGACCGCAGGCAGAGCTGGGCCTCGCTGGAGGCTGAGGAGCTGTGCAGGTGGCCTGGGCAGGGGTGGGAGACGGCCCGAGGGAACTCTGGCAGGGGCTGTGCTCGTCCTCGGGCTGAGCTCCTCTTTAGTGAGACGTCACTTGAGAGAACCATCTCAGAGGCTTGCGAGAGGCAGCCCCGACCGCGGCAAGCCTCCCAGAGACTCCTGAAGACTCAGCTCGGGAGACGGGACGCAGGGAGGCACCCGAGTGGCACGTCCAACGCTAACCATGTCGTCTGACAGTCACAGTGTGGGCACTACGACTTCACAGAAGCGTGTTCCGGCCAGGTGGACGTGGCACCCGTGGATAATGGTGTTGATTCTGTTCGTGCTGACTCTTGGTGTTCTGACATTTACTTTCCTGATAATTTGGAATCTCCTAGAAATGATGGCCATTCTCAGAGCTGATCAACAACTAGGTCAGACTGAGAACTATGCCACCTTGGCCTTTCCCCAAAATAATACCCTCTCTGGGGGCCCAGAGGAGGAAAGGCCCACGATGTCCAGTGAGTCCAAGGGGAAGAATGTTTCCTTCCCTGACCCAGGTAAGCAGATGCAGGACAAGTTAACACTAGGTAGCAGGGAGCCAGAATTACCCAGCGCGCTCCCCCAAGTTAATCCCCTCTAATGAAATAGCCCCTGAATATATAAAAGTTGTTGGAGTAACAGCCCCTCCTTTACCTTGAACAGGAATATATATTAATTAGAAGTTAGCAGGCAAAGAAACAGGAGAAGCTTGTTAGATACTATAAACTAAGCACAATTACCAAGGAGTCAGAGTCCATGGTACATAGAGAAACATTTTGGACAGAAAGACAAATAGCTAACTTAGACATCACAAAGGCCTTATAATAAATTTCCTAACCTCTGCTCGGTCTAGCGTACCTTTTGCCCTATGCCAAATTCTAGACCTTTAATAAATAATAAGACATTCAAACTCTGTACACAGAGTTATTTCAAATTGTCTGATTCATGGTTCTCCTGGTCAAAACAATTTTTGTTTAATATAACTGAAACTATGGAAATTCTTGTACTTTTTCTGGTTACCTTTGTATTGATTTTGTCTGCTTAACTGATCATGCTATACACCTGCAAATGTTAATCACTACCTCAAATGAAAATATAAAAACCTGCTTGTACTTGCAATAAACGGAGCAGAGCTTCACTGTCCTTTGAGGCGTGTTGCTGTCTGCTACCCAGCGCCGATGCCTTACCCACCTTTGGGACCCCTTGACCCGCTGCGGCCGGACCGCGGCACGAGAGTTGTCTGCAGCCCAAGGAGCCGCCTCCGGACGCAGCTGCTCAGGCACAGGGCTTATTTTGCACGTTGACATCCAATGGGTTTGGGAAGGAAAAAAAGTGACAGGCCGTTCAGGGATACAAGTCCCACTTCAGCTGCAGCGTGGACTAATGAACCAGCGGGAAGCCAGAGAGAACACAGGCAAACCCAGAGATCTTACAACAGAACAATTACACCCTCACTTGTCCGCGTGTCGGCCCTGGGATGCCCTGTGCTGCCCCCGGGCCTGGCCCAGAAGACCCCGGAGCCCCAGGGCCGGTCTGGGCAGCATGGTCTGGAGTCCTTGGGCCCTGCCAGGCCCCCTGTGGGCCTCGGACCCAGGAAGTTGGCTGTCACGAAGCTTCCCACATGGTGGGCCCAAAGGGAGGACGGGCTGAGAGCCGGGCTCTGTGCACATCAGGAAGGAGCGACACCCCCACCCAGAGCCGGGGGGGGGGCCGGCGGGGAGGTGCAGGGGGAGCAGCAGGTCAGAGTGTGCAGAAGAGAAGGCCTCTCCCGAGAGGGGTGCCAGCTCTGTGGGGGAGGAGAGGGGCCCTGTGTGGGGTGAGCTCTCTGGGGACAGGGGTGGCAGTGGCTCTGTCGCCTCCACAGTCTTTCTAAGGCATGGTGTAGGACCAAGCGTGGCGACCCCACTGCCACCGTGAGGGGGTGGGTCGTCCCCTGGCAGGAGGGCAGGGGCTTGCTGAGCCCCTGGCTGTCGGCTGCTACGCCCACCTCCACCCCAACAGCCACCCCGCTTGCCCAGGGTCGTACGGTGTGCACCACCCACCAGGGCCCCGGCCCCGCAGGACAACAGCCCCCACCACACACGGCGTGCATCCCCTGCAGTGACTGCACTCCTTCAGTGCGCGTCTGCCAGAGAACGAGGTCCGGGGCCACCAGGCTGCCCGCATCTGCCTGCCGGCCCCTCCAGGGGTGTCCTCCCTCCCAGGGGGTACAGATCAAGAGGCCCAAGGGCCCTTGGTCCCCAGGCTCAGGCCAACTGCCCCGTGGGACAGCCCTGCGTCCTCCTCACAGCAGAAGCCCTTGGCACATGCTGGCCCGAGTCCCCACCAGCAGCCCCTCGGCCGCTCCTGCCTGGGGAGCAGCACCAAGGGGCCTGCAGCTGCCCCTGGCCGAGGCCGAGGACTTGGCCAAAACCAGCCGGCTCCGGAGCCTCCCTCTGGTGAGGCTGAAGGCAGTGGGTGGGTGGGCATCAGACTGGCCCTGGCCCCAGCCCCCACCTCAAGCCCAGCCCTTCCTGCCACCTCAAGGGCCAAGCCTAGGCCTGCGCTGCCCTCAGTGGCCGGCCAGCAGGTGGGCAGCCACTCTGCTGAGAAGGCAACCTGCCCAGGACATAAGTGACCTCAGCAAAGGAAGCCCAGCCCACTGGTGGCCACCCAGCCCCCAGCACCCTGCCCTCCACCCTCCCGGGAGCCACCGTGCGGGCCCCAGCCCAGGGTTCAGGGCTTGGCACTCAGGTTGTACCCAAAGGCCCCACTGCACGCCCCCCCCCCACTCGCAGTCATGGCAGGGCCATCCCGAGGTGGGTCACAGTGCTTCCGCCTGCAGGGGAGGTGCTGCAGCCTGGCCTGTGGGGGCCGAGCCTTCTGGTACCCAGAACCATGCGGGGGCTGCACAGAGCCAGGGAGCCCAGCTGCCTGCGGGAGCCAGCTGGCCAGTGGCTGCGCCTGGCTGGCAGCTGGACCTCCCCCGGCGGCCTACCGCATCCACCTGACCCAAGATGGACCCAACCCACCTGCCCACACAGCGCACAGGCCCCTTTCAGCCCTGCCACCTCCCTGACCAGGCTGCTCCCTGCCCCACAGGGGTTCGGGGAAGAGGCAGGGCAGGGCTGCCTCAGGAGGGCGCAGAGCCACCGCCCTGCCGGGCCCAGCACCCACCTCGCTCAGTGACCCCGTCACGCCGCAGCAGGACCCAAACCCCAACCCTCAGTGGTCCTGGGAGGAGAGGCTCATGGGGGCCACCCTGACAAGTCATCCCCAGCCCTGGCCACCCTGGAAGGGGGGGGGGCCTGGCCAGCAGGTGGGACCAGGCCCCCTATGACAGGAGGGGAGGCAGGAGCAAGAATCAATAAATCTGAACCTCATTCACGATGATCGGGGCCCTTATTAAGTAAATTAATTTAAGTTCATTTACTAGGTTCATTCGGCGCGGCCCTGACTCCCGACCACGACGACTTGGTGATTTAGGGGAGACGCATTAGGAAAGGCCACGCTCGCCAGACGGGCAGCGGAAGAGGACGGGCCCACTTAGCGCGGCGAGTCGGGATGGAAATAGCAGGTGTAAATCCAACCTCAGCAAGAGAGTGGAAATTGTCTTCATAAATTTGTAGAAATAGCCCCAAGACGCTTATAAATCTATTTAAAACAAAAATATTACAAAAAGTGCAGTAAAATTCACTTAGAATATACTCCCAGCTATTGCCTCCAGGGAGCAGGCGGCAGGACCCAGCCCACCGCAGCCTGGCAGGGAGGGAGCAGGGCAGTGGGCACTGGGGACGGTGGGGGCGGGCTGGGCGGGCGCCCCCGCGCCTGTGCAGGCCAGCAGGCCGCACCGTACCCCACCCCCAACCCCCGGGCCCCGGAGCCAGGCCAGCTCAGACCACAGCAGGGCCTGTGAGGGCTGGCAGCGCGGCCGCGGGAGCACCGCTGCTCTGCCCTGGGGCCCGGCCCCACAGCCTCTGGCCAGCGGCCAGGTGCTCTGGAGCACCCTGTGCCCATCCGGAAGCCTGCCCTGGACCAAGGGGCCCCACGCTGCCCCGCAGGAAGCAGGCTCCTGAGGGCGGCCGGAAGGCAGAGGGGAGGGGTCTCCCACCCATCTGCCAGGGCTGCCACCCCTTCGGTCTCCAAGATGGGGCCACACCCCCGTCCCGGGCCTCCCAAAGCCCCGTGGCTGCAGCGCCAGGAGTCGTCCCCACATGGCCACCCCAGCTTCCCAAGCCCCCCTGCTTCTGTGCCCGGGGCACCCTGGAAAGGAGGTGGAGCCACCGCACAGGCTCAGCCAGGAGCAGCCGGGCCAAGGGCACAGCCCTGCGGCGGGCGTGTGTGCAGCTTTCCTCGCCTCGGGCGTCAGTATGTCCCCGTGTCCCTGGCTCACAGGTTCCCAAGGGCGCCCAGCCTCTCACCACGAGTTTCTCCCTGACAGATGCCATGGCCACTACTGCCAGCTGATGGCTTGCTGACAGTGTGTGTGGGGAGGGGGGTGGCGTCTGCGTGGCACACAGGCCAGCCATCAACCTGGCGCAGAGACTGCTGAGCAGAAAGACGAGCCCATTCCCCAGCCAGCAAACTGAGACCCAACCCCTGCAAGTGGCGAGCTCAGTCCCATGCCGCCCCTCCCGCCCCGGCCTATGTGGCCTTGGACCCTGCCAGCCGCCTCAGGCCCACGCACCTGGACAGGGAGAGCCGCCGAGTCCGCCAGGAAGGCAGGGACAGGGGGAAGGGGGCCGCGTTGAGCGGCGACACGGGCGTCTTCTTGACGATGCGGTACCGGGTCTGGATCACCTTGCTGGTGGGAGGGCTCCGCAGGCTGCTCAGGCGGGAGGCTGCAGAGAGAACCCAGTGCAGCGGTCAGTGGGGGCTGCCAGAGACGCCCATCACCCCTCACTCCAGCCCCACACCACACGGCACAGGCATGTCCCCAGAAAGCCCAGTGGCCCAGAACTCCAGAAGAAGGGGCACAGGCCCAAGTCCCAAGACGCAGGTCTCTGGGATGCTGGGTGACGCGGCGGAGGTGGGGGGGGCTGACCAGGGGTCCTCAGTGAGTGGCCCCAAACCCCCAAACTTGGGGCTGGTCCCAACTCCCCAGAGCTCCCATGGGCAGCAAGGAGGGTCTCCTGGGCCGGTCCAGGAGGCCAGGGTGGGCACGGGCACCTACGCTGTGTGCCCACGCGGATTTACGTACTCCTCATGTGTCCTGCCGTTTTGCTCCTCGCAGCTTTTCCTCTTACTGAAACTGTTTCACGCAATTAACAGGGATGCTTTGCCTGAGCTGCCGTCCACTTGACAGCTAGCACTTTCTCCACAGCTTCAAGGAATGCGGCTAATTGCCCGACTTCCACGGCACACAGCTCCAACTGCCTAGGTCATTAGAGCTAACGCAGCCAGGACCAGCCTCCCGAGAGCTGCACGACACCCAGGGCTCCGCGAGGAGGGACTGCCGCAGGCCCCACGGGCTCCTCAGGGGCCCTGCCCACAGAGATACCCAGGCTGGGCAGCTGGGCCAGGCAGCCGGGTCGGTGGGTAGAGGTCAGGCAGAGACCAGGGGCCCGTGGGTCAGGTGAGGCCCCAGGAAAGCACTCATGTGGTCCCACCACCAGCACACCAGCAGCAGGGTGAGCCCTCGGCTCCCGGGCAAGAACTGGCCAGCCCTCAGCTGAAGGCCCAGGACAGCAAGCAGGGCAGGCGCACAATGGCCTGAGACCCAGAGGCCCCTGCCCTCCTGCGGTCTGGCACCAGCCCCAATTTTGGCCACCACCCTGCCCCGAGGCATAAACCAGGGCTCTATGACCCACACTTTCTCCACTGGGCATGAGGCAACCTCCTCCCAGCACCCACAGGCCCCTGACCCAGACCTAGAGCCCCCCCATTTCCAGACCGCTGGAGCTGCTGCTGGTCCAGAGACAGAAGCAGGACCTGTTGCTAAACACCACCTCTTGAGCCCCAAGCCAAGCAGGTCCCCAGCCCAAGGCCTGGCCTCCCGAGTGGCGCCCAGCCCCGGTGGCTCCCCCAGCTCACAGGCCCCAGGGCACCCAGGGGACACATACTGGGGGGCTGCAGGCCAAGTCCGCCCCACAGGAGCCACGGCACTCACTTGTACCGCATGGCCCGGGGGATGATGGAAACTGAGGGCAGAGACCTCTCTTTCACCCCCTCCCCGTCCTCCCTCTGTCTCCGTCTCCCCCTCCCTGCAAGGACCACGGCTGGGGACAGCCAGGGAGGAGAGGGAGTTCAGCACAACCACAGGCACCGTGGCACTGCCTGGGGGCTCGCCTGTGCCGAGGGAGCAGCTCTCTGGCTTGGGGCCCACGACGCACACCTGGTGAGGAGGGCACAGCCCAGCACCCAGCGGGCGTCGATGAATGAATGTTTGTTGGATTGAGTTTCCACGGTCTCATCAGCAAGGACAGACCAACAAAAGTCAGTAATGGCTTGTTCCAGCTAAGAGCCTAAGAACACGAGATCTCCTGTGAGTTACTGCCACGCGCCAGCTGAGCCCACGGCCCCCAGGCTGCCTGCTCCCAGGCCCCTGCACCTGGACAGTCCACCTGGCTCTGGGCCCTCACTGGGGCCTGCCAGCCCACACCCCTCGCTTGCAGATCCACCTGTGCCTACCGCTCTGGGTGGGATGTGCACCCAAGGGCCACAGAGCCCCTGTTCTGCAGCCCAGCCCCTGTAGGGCCACCCCAGGTGGCGGGGAGGAGGGCTGGTCCCTGCTGGGGCCAAGTCCCTCCTCAGCAACCTCCCCGCCCTGGTCCTGATCGCCAGGAGCCCCCTCGGGCTCGGCTCCACCACCGATGTGGCCTTCTCCAGCCCCTAGTGCAGCCGGGCAGTGCCCCTCCTGCAGGAAGAGACCCCCCTCCTGTGTTCTACGGAGGCCCCGCATCTGAGTTCACAGCACAGTCCCATACAAGACAGGACCACAGGAGAGCCAGCTTCCCATTAACTGTTCGCATGTCACTCATGCCTGCCAGCTGCCACTCCCAAAAGGACGCAAATCAAGCAGATGCCCTTTTAAAAAGCCAGCCTCTCCTCACTTCCCCTGTGCTATTGCTGGGTACACACCCCCACCCTGGGGGTCCTGGGAGGCAGACAGAAAGGCCCCCCGTCCACGCCCCACCGGGGCTGGCTGCGGGTCTGTAGACAACCACGCCGTTCAGACCGGACCCTGGTTTCACTCCCTTGCTGCAGACTCCCAGCGCGGTGATGCGCTCCCCGTTGCACGTCTCACTCACATCAAGCCCCGCGCGCCTTTACTGCCAGCAAGGCGTTATCAGGCCTGCACACACAGCCCTCTCCGCCCGCCGTGCAGGGGTCACTTCTAATGACTAATCGATCTCATTAGCTTTCCTAATTAAAAACTTTACTGCCGCAACGGAAGACGAACTGCAGAAAACTGCTGGCATCATATCTGAGTGGGATATGAGCCCATCCATCAGCGGGGCCCTTGCTCCCGCACACGGCAGCTGCCCGGCCTCTCCCATTCCCGCGCTCTGGGCCGAGGGCCAGGGGAGGCTGGAAGGGCACGAGGGACCCTCCCGTGCGCCGAGCCCAGGGGCAGAGCCAAGGCGGCCCGGCAGGCCCCCGGTGCACACTGCCCCCCATGATCCAGCCAGGGAAGGAGGAGCTCTCCAGCCCCTGGGAGTCTGCGCCACACGGGGTGATCGGTTCCCCAGCACACTGGCCGCTGGCAGGGAGGCAGGGGCTGCACCCTGCCCTGCCCCAGTTCGGCTGGCACCACTCTGGCCTGGGCTCGACCCACCCCCACCCCCAGGAGCCACTGGAGGAGGCCACAGCTCCCGCTCTGTTTTCCTGGGGAGCAGGGATTCAGAGTTCAGATTTCTACGGAACTTCAAAGAATTAACTAGAAGAAAATGAGTTCCTAATTTCACAACTGTTTAATGAGTAAGGAGAAGATGAAACCAGACTGCTAATCTGTGCAAAAAACCACCTCAGGCCACTGACGACAGAGATGGCTGCTCCCCAAACGAGCCGGAGCCCAAGCCCGAGGCCGAGGCAGCAGGTGAGTGTCCCCAGCAGTGGCTCCCCAGGCGGAAGGAGCCTCCCGGCAGGGCTCCAGGCTGGCCTCCGGGGCTGAGGGGAGCCACAGGTGCCAGTGTGTCAGGGACAACACGGTGGGGCCAGGCAAAGGGTGCAGAGCCAGGGGACAGCTGTGTGGCCACGGCAGTCTGCCAGTCTGGGTTTTCCAACCCCTACCCAGCACGATCCAACTCTGAGTACTGGCCCAACGTGCTTTTCACCAACAGCCCCCACCCTCCACCGCCGGTTCGGTGCTGGTCTCTGCCCCGTGCACACACCACTCTCCCTGCCAGCTGGCTCAGGTCTCCGCCGGCCCACCGTCGGCCAACAGTGCCCCCAAGTGCCGCTCAGGAGGGCCCGGGAGCAGGAGTGCCACCTGAGGGTCCACAGGGCGGGCTGCCTCGCCCCAGCAACGGCAGAGGTGCGCTCTGGTGAGAAGGCCCACAGGAGCAAACGCAGAGCAGTGGGCATGGCCCCTGCGCCTGAGAGCCCGACGCAGGCCGGGCTACGTGCAGAGCCCAGCCTGGCAGGGCCTCGGGGCCCACTGCTGGGGCCGGAGCAGACGCCACACCGGCAGGGCGCTGCCCCTCCGAGGAGGCCACACAGGCAAAGCGCTGACTCTCCCGGAAGGCTGGGCCCAGGTGAAGGGCTGGGGAGTGGCCTCCACACCTTGCCTGGCTCCATCCTGCCCTCCCTGGACACTGCCCATCCATCAAGGCATTTCTGAAAGTTGGCCCCATCTGAGCCGCCACCTCAGTGACCCCTACGGCCCTGAAGGTGGTGAAGCCAGGGCTGCATCTGGGGATGAAAAGGACCCTGGACTCTGAAGAAGGGTGACAGACCCCAGGGGCCCCCGGGACAGGCCATGTGGGCAAGCTGTTTACGAGAAGCAGCCGGAAGGAAAGCCAAGTGGGGCGCGGGCCCTGGGGCTCGGCGCTGCAGAGAAGGGCCCCAGGAGCCCTCTCCTCCTGCCTTTGCCCAGGCTCAGGGCTGCTCCTTCCCCGTCTCCGCAGCAGCAGCTGCTGCCAAACGGAAGCTGGCCTGGAGACCCCACTGCCCCAGGGCCCCCACTACTGACCTGGAACTGCCCCAACGACTGCACACCACAGTCCCTGAGGCTGCCCCGGGCCACTCCCCACACACACATGCTGCGCGGGTGGTTCCTGCTTGCGAGACCTGGCTGCCAGACCCCGGCCCCCTGGGGACTTTCACGCCATGCCTTGCCACTGCCAGCCCCAGGCCCTTCAGTTCTGCCCTGAGCCAGGCTAGACAGATGCAGATGCAGGGCTGGGGGCCCGGATGCCACTCCCTCCAGGCTGCTGGGAATCGGCAGCTGGAGTGGGACTTGGCCCAGGACCTGGGACAGGGCACCAGGAGCCCGGTTTGGCTGGTGAGCTGGGGTTAGAGGATATTATTCCTGCTCCTCTTGGCTTGGGTTGGGCAGCCGGGGTCCTGCCAGGAAGCTGAGGGGCAATCCTTGTTGGGAGACGTGGGGAGCCTCATCCCTTCCACAAAGAAGCACAGTGCCCACTGCACGGTGCAGCTGCCAGGGCAGTGGCCAGCGGAGCACAGATGTGAGACTGAGGCCCAGAGAAGGAAAATGACCGCCTGCCCTGCTGGGCCAGGCCGGGGCTGCTCCAGGGGTCGCAGGCTCCGGGCCCCTCAGGAAGGAGAGGCAGGGCCCCCACGGACACCAGCCTGGAAAACAACAGAGGAGGCCACGCCGCGCCATCTGCAGAAGCTGCCAGACACACCCCCACGGACCCCATCTGTGCTCCCAGGTGCC